ACTGATGTCCATGTAAGTGATTAAAATGAGATCTGTGGGATGGCTGTATGGCCCTTGCACACACAGTCACACTGAATTATTCTTACCAAAGTTTGAAATAGCTCACTGATGTATAGTAACTGATTCAAATAAAATCTGTGGAATGGCTGTATGGCCCCTGCTCACACAGTCACCCTGGATATATACTAATAAAAATTCTGAATCACTCATTGATGTAACGGATAAAAATGAAAATCTGCGAGATGGCTGTATGGCCCCTGCTCACACAGTCATCTTGAAAGTGTAAACTTATTGCCCAAGCCGAAATCACCTAGGAAACTAACAGCTGAATTAAGTGAATAATTTTATGTAATAAGATGGGCCGCATGGCCCAGACTCATGCGGTGAGAATTCTATATATGACCACGTTACGGTACACCTGTCTACATTGTGAGTGCCATATGGCGTACTATACACCTCAGCACACTATAATGTGACACTGTGATGTAGCCCAGAGATGACAAGCAAGATAACACAAACAAGACAGATCATACCCAACCGCAGTGTATCAATATCCAGCAAGCCAAGGTGGCCTGTGCTGCCTAATCAGCTGTCGATGCCATATGCTAAGGGAAGCCAAGCCAAGCACTATTACTGTAGGTGCAACTCCTGGAGAACTGATCAGTAGGACATGTACAACTATGTTGAATTGAATTGAGGAAATACTGAGAATGCAGAGCTACGTGTATTGACTCTCTCAAGAGAGTACTCTGCCCAAGACTGGCTTCATTGAAAATGTGTCGGCAAAAGGGAACTGCCTATGTATACCTTAGCACCTGCAATGAAATGAAAAACTATAAAAAAACTTCTGTAAACAGGCTAGAATGTGCTACCATTAATGAAAAATGCATAAACAATCAATGAATCCATCAGGATTTCCTAAACAAACTGAATTAACAGTAAATTCCTCGAAAAGAACAACAAAGTTAAAAGCAATGATGTGACGTGGTGAGCTGAGGGAAGCGTAAGTGTTTTGTCCCCTCACAACAAGGGGGGGACTATAATGTCCACACAAATCAAAACAGGGGAGCCAATAAAAACCAGCGATAAAATTAATCTATGAGGTTTTGTCCTCATATTTTACATTGAGGCTTCATCCTCCTATTTTATTATATCGGGGCTTTGTCTTCATAAATTATTTTGAGGCTTTGTTCTCATATTTTGTTTTCAAACTTTGCTCTTGGATTTTAGATTGAGGCTTTCTTCTCATATTTGATTTTGAGGCTCCATTCTCTTTGTTATATAATATTATTGAGGCTATGTTCCTCAGTTTGAGGTTTTGGTCTTCGTTGTTGCAGACTCATGTTGCTCTTGTTGGTACTGCATATTTGATTTGTTTGCAGGATATGTATGTGATTTATAATTAGTCCCATTTGTATTTGTGTCTAGGGTAACCCATGCAAATATTATTTCGTTTGAATTACCATTCTCATTTTTAACCTTTTATGCCAACTTTTTATTATTCAATCGTGCAATCCGCTATTTTGGTTTACAGGTACATGCAGCTATAAAAAATCTGAGGATGAAGCCTTAAAACAGAATAATTTATGGGGAGGACCTAATTATATACCGGCAACGAAAAATAAATAGTATTGCAGTGCCCCAAATTTTGATCGCCCATGAGGGAAGGAATATCCCAGAGGCTCTAACAGTGAGCTCCATAAAAAAGGGGGGTGGCTCACATAACAAGTAACAAAAAGGTGGCTTGAACAGTTAGCACCGTACAAAACAGGGTGGCTCAAACAGTTAACACCCGTGAAAGACTAATAACATGATGGCTAGAACAGTACTGGTAAGCACCATAGATAATAAGGTGGCTCAAACAGTTTAACACCCGCGAAAAAGCTAAGAACATGGTGGCTTGAACAGTTAGCACCATAGAAAATAGCGTGGCTCAAACAGTTAACACCCGCGAAAAAGCTAATAACATAGTGGCTCTAACAAGTAGCAGCATAAAAAAAAGGGGGTAGCTAACATAGAAAGTAACAACAATGTTGGCTTGAACGGTTAGCACTGTACAAAACAGGGTGGCTCAAACAGTTAACATGGGTGACAGACTAATAACATGATGGCTTGAACAGTTAGCACCATAGAAAATAGGATGGCTCAAACAGTTAGCACCCTCGAAAAAGCTAAGAACATGGTGGCTTAAACAGTTAGCACCACAGAAAATATGGTGGCTCAAACAGTTAACACCCGTGAAAGAACTAACAATAATGGTGGCTTGAACAGTAGCACCATAGACCATAGGGTGGCTCAAACCGTTAACGCCCGTGAAAAAGCTAACAACATGGTGGTTTGAATAGCTAGCACCATAGAAAATAGGGTGGCTCCAACAGTTAACATCCGTGAGAAAGATAATAACATGGTGGCTTGAACAGTAGCACAATAGAAAATAGGGTGGCTCCAACAGTTAACACCCGTGAAAGAACAGTTACTACTCCAGCAGAGGAACAAATCCTCACAATGAAAAACGGCCTCGAAGTTACCAAACACTGGCAACAGAATGTCGCCGACAGTTAGTACAGGAAAACAACAGAACATGACGATACAACATGTAACATGACATACAAACTGACCTCTGAACAGCACACAATAACCCCAATAAAATTATGCTCATACCTCTAAGATAACTTTTAAGAATGGTTGCAATGTAATTTCTAAAACTTTATAAATACGTTAAAGGAATGGAACGGTAGGGTTGGATAATGTCTGTTTTTTTAATAATAATTATAGGTTTACAAGTAAGCTAAGTCCAAAGGTCAAAAATGCTCAAATGTACAAAATTGTAAATTCAGAACATGAATAAAATAAAGTCCCTTTACAAATCAAGACACAGCTAAGATTATGAATAAAGAGATCCATTACTGGGCTGGTATAAACAAATATTTCAAATCAAATATCGACGAGTGTTATTTTGCGCCAGTTGGCACCAGCGATACAACTACAGTACAGGCCGCGGGCATTGCAGCACTTACACGCGCGTACATTGCGTTCAATACGGCGGATTTAGCTGTAGTTGATGTAGGAACACGAATTACAACGAATAGAACTATCAACATTTAAGTGGACGATTTTATTCCGAGCGTAGCGACTTTATAACATCGTCGCGCGCGAAGCGCGCGCTCAGTCTGCTAACTACGCGTGGTCTTAACCAGCTGCAAAATTCGATGCGCCATAAATAAACCTTTTCATAAATATATGCTTGGTGTCCGCCAATGACGTCATGGAGCATTTTGCGTTTCCAGGTAACATAGACTTTGCCGCCAATGACCAAGGCACATTTTCATGTATTATTCATGAGAGGCTGTTGTGTTTATTCATCGTCTGTGAAACAATGTTTACAATCGGTGAATAACGAACAATTTGCCATGCAAATGACACATAACTACAAGCACAGCAAGTGCCTGAAAATCCTCGCCGAGGAAGATTTTCCATTGAAACTCCTCTGGAGAACGTCGATTAAAATTCATCGGCGAGCGAATCGAAGAAGACAACCATGAAGCAGAGAACATCGCCTAGCACAGCGAAGGCAATGTCGTCAACACAGCGACCACAAACGTGTACAGAGGCAGCAGCAAAATACTCCAATTACATTGTAAACGAAGCCGATGAAGAGAGGGACCACCGACTGCCGACCCTTCCAAAAGTGACAAGACTGGATCAGGCAACGCGTAAAGTTTACAGTCAAAATTATCTTCTTCGATGCAGCGATAGGCAACAAGAATTATGCACGTCAAGAATATCTTTCCAACGGACTCGGAACAGCCGATCAGCCTTTACACCATGAGCAACAATGGGTCTTACAGTAAGCTTTATTTTACAATGAACAGTTTAGAACACCGATAATGTATGACACGATGTATGATAATGTATGATAATGTATGAAGCGTTACATTTTGGACACAGAATCCTTGCTGAACAACATTTTCGTTTACAATTTTCATTACATTTAATGCATCAGTCAATTCCGCCTGCGCTCAGCTTCCCCCCCCAAAAGGCTGACCTCCAGGCATTTGCATTTTTTGGGCCTTGGATGGAAAATTCCTGGGGGTGGGGACTTTTGAGCTGTCAAATCTCCCGGGGTGGGGACGAAAAAAGAGAACAAATGCCCCGTTCTCCATCAACCACTGTGTGAGATGAGTTGTGTCATGGTCCCGATATTAGTCCATACGAACCCGTATTCTTGAGAAAAACGGAAGTATGGAGAGGTATCGGGTTTCCGACACGCAGCGTATACATTGAGTATCAGGACCCGTATATTTGCTGAATCGAACTTTTTCCGCGGCATGGAATATCCGATATCCGGACACGTCATTGAAACGCGGCGTGTCAAGACCTGTAAACGTCCTTATTTTTCTAGATTTGCCGAGAATCATGGAGTGCCGTTGATGAACGCTACAATTTTTGCCTTTCATTTTCACTAAAATTCCACGCTACGGATTGTGTTATCCTAATTTATACTCTAAACGTTCACGACACGTGAAGATTCTATTCCGTAGAATGCGATGAAATTCCACAATACGTGAAGTTTCGAGTGTTTTCACTTCCTCGAAATTCCATGGTACGTGAAATACCAGGGACTCAAACACCACTGGAATTCCACGGTTCATGAAATTACCGATGTTGAAATCGTGGCAAAACTCCCTGATACGCGAAAATTGCAACACGTTTATTGTACTTTATTACATCCATCTGGAAATCACAGGTGATCCTTGCAATCTGATTGGCTCAGAGCGATGTGATTTATTCACGAATCGCACTATTTTGTGCTCTAAATCGCATCTTTTTTTCAACCAATCAGAAAGTAGCACTTAAACAAAACAGCCAATCAGATTTCAAGGATCATTCACAGTAACCAATCAAATTGCAGGAAAACAAAAAAAAAATAAAGGCAATATTGTGTGGCAAACTTTGTGCAAGTTTTTTGTTGCCAAAATTTTTTTTTTACAAAGGCAAAAATGGACGAATTTAATTACTTACTGTTTCTTAATGATGATAGTGAGCTCCTTGAGGCTGAAGAAGTACTTTTAGGGGAGTTTCCGACATTCAGTGTCCAGTTTGACGAATATTTTGATAATTTTTTCTCCACATCCGCTCCGGATGCGTGCGATCCCGAGTCCAGCAACAAAGAGACAAATCCAGAGCCAACTCAGAAAGTACAAAATGTAGATTCCACCAGGTTCCCTGAAATCTCAATCGAAGAAATTGAAGAGCTCAAGGCTGTTGCCGTCAACGAAAATACCTCCCACTCGACCAAACAGTGGATGAATGTATTCAAAAGTTGGTGCCAGTCTCGTCATCTAGAAAATGTAAACATAGAAACAATGGCGCCGGAAGAGCTTGACAACATCCTGAGCAAGTTCTACGCCGAAGTAAAAAAGAGGGACGGAGATGATTACGAGCCGGAATGCCTTAAAATCATACAGAGTGTCATTGAAAGGTATTTAAAGGAGAAGAATTATCCACTGAGCATCGTACGATCGAGGGAGTTTCACAACTCTCAAGAAATCCTCCACGCGAAGGCAATTTCTCTGCGACAACAAGGAAAGGGGAAAAGACCAAACAAATCTCAGCCTCTCACTTCGGAGGAAGAGTCTTCCCTCTGGCTAAAAGGTCAGCTTGGTGATTTTAACGGAAAAGTCTTGACCAATGTTAACTTCAAAAACTTGACGGAGCAACTTGGATTTAGAGGTCGCCAGGAGCACTATGACGCCTACGTCGAGGACTTCGTTATAAGACAACAAGAAGACGGCAGCGAAGTTGTAGAATTCCGTGAAGGTCCCACTAAAACACGAAGCGGTGGTCTAACAATATCGCGAACAACAACACCACAAGCTATGTATTCCACCGATGGCGGAAAAACTGATCCAGTGCGCCTTTTCAAGCTTTGGTTATCCAAGCGACCCGACGGAATGAAAGATAAAGGGCCACTGTACCTGAGCGTTATAAATCGTCCCAAATCAAATGATATCTGGTACACCAAAATTAGAATGGGCGAAAATACCATCGGCAACATCATGAAATCCATTGCCTCCTGTCTTAAGACGAACAAAAAACTGACCAACCACAGCATGAGAAAAACGTTGGTGTCCAAATTGGAAAAGTCTGGTCAGCCGCGCAACGTTATTTGTGAAATAACAGGCCATGCACGTGAATCTTCGTTGGACGACTACGACGAAATAGACGAGAATCAACGGAAAGAACTGTCTCACATAATTAGCGGATTTAAAGAAGTGCCAAATGAAAACGGTCCCAACGACGTTTCCAATCAAAACAGTACAGCTGAAAAGGCACCAACAATTCAAAACACAGTCCAACAGCCAGTCCTACACCAACGAGCACCACTGGTTCCTATTAATCGCGCCCAACGGCAAGGTCAAATGCACCAGGCCATGGAATTCCTGAATCCTGATTTTCAGGCTGCTGGTTTTGCTGGATTTCCGCCAAGTTGTCCCTCACAGTTTCAGCACCGCATGGCAGCGTTGACTTGTGCTGGTAATAGGGAGCTTAAGCAACAGCGCTTTTGAGCGACGGACGTCAACCGGAAATGGACTTTTTGCATCATTGGGCAGTGGTTTGGTTGAAACTCTCGGGTAAATCGTCTTTAAAAGAGAAAAGAAACTCAGCAATACAAGTTTGTTAACGTCAAGGCATATAAAAAGGAGAAGGCCTCACTTCCGGTTGACGTGCGTCGCTCAAAAACGTCTTTGCTTAAGGTCCCTAATACTGCTGCTTCATCGCAGAATTACACCGGCTGTACTTTCAATTTTTTCTCCCAAGAAAACGCGATGCCTCAGCCACAACCGCAGAAGAAGCGAAGGGCTTATATTATTGAGTCAGACGACGAGGATTAAACTTTGAAGAAGACTATTTTTGCAGTGACAAGATTATAGAACTGCTTGAACATTTGCGATTGAACGAGCAGAAGTTGTCTGATGCATCGGTTTCCCTGACTCCGAACAAACTTTACTGTCTAATTACAGGTTTGTAAGTTTCTGGAGGACAGATTTGTAAACGGAAATGTTATCTCCACGTTTCGAGAACAAAAGGTAACAAATAGAGGATATTACATGGCCGTGCGGAGATATGAAATTTCATGCTCAAAGAGAAAATTAGCATCTCTAAGCGGCCATGTAATGTTCTATTTACAATTGCTGGATTTCATACCGTGAGGGCCTGGGTACGAGTCGGTGTATTATGGGATTATCAACACAAGACCCCGATATTCAGAAAGAGCACACCAAGCTTTACAAAATCCTCAAGTTTCGTATTAATTGGGTCAATACTGAACAAGATACAGCCACTCAAAATCTTAAAAAATTACTGAAAAATGTATGGATGGCCGGACACTTGTCTTTTCTTACTAAATTTTTACGATTTTGAATGGCTGTATCTTGTTCAATATTGGTCCAATTAACAAGAAACTTGACGATTTTGTAAAGCTCGGTATGCTCTTTCTGAATATAGGGGTCTTGTGTTAATAATCCCATAATACATGGACTCGTACCCAGGCCCTCAAGGTATGAAATCCGGCAATAACCCAGGCGCTTCCCTAGTAAATAATTAATGAGTAAACAACTTGGAGATGACTGGAGACAATTCAGCTATTTACAGGTATCATATAAACACTAATGAAATACCAAACCACTTCACTTTCATTGCGAAAGCGGGATTTATTATGTAACAAGACGCCTAAAGTCGTTTCCGTGGGATGCGTTGGTCTATGGAAGCATAATGGCGTTCTATCTAGGTTAATGGAACAAAACAAAACAAAACATTCGCTTGCTTTATCCAGGGTCGAACCCAGGGTTACAAAGTTCGATAAAGTTCCAATGTTAATCTTAATACAAGATGAAAGTTTAATATTCCAAGATGCTCTTGATACGGTTAAAAATTAATTGCAATGTGTTTCCAAGGTCTCAAAGTTAACATAGTTCCAATGATTATCCCTGATTCCAAGGTATAATAAGTTTACTCATGTCCTGATCCGTGTTCCATCCAGAAGTCCAATCCATGCCGAAAGCGAGTCGTCGATCGACTAAGACAACATTTTCGCGATTTCAACGCCAATCGTCAAGGGTGCGAGTTGAAATTTACGCGATTTAACCTCCCATCGTCAAGGTGTTTTCGATAAGAAAAGAAAAAAAAAAACAGAACTCTTGCTGTGCTCGACAAAAACTGGCGAACTCCGAGGAACTCCGAATAGAAAAATCTATCGGAAATCACGGCCCGCAACCAGACGCTACTAAAACCTTATGAAAAAGCTAGACCTAAACAGAAAAGAATCATGAAGGAAAGAAATAATTTGGCTTAGGTCGCCTTTCGTGACCTGCCAGTATCCCGAAGGATTTTGCTGGTTAACAAGCCATCGTAAACCACGAGTGGGAAAACTCGAGCGCGACAAATTTGGCAAGCAACGTTCTGATTTCAACGTTCTTCAGAGGAAGCAAATCGATTAAAAATCGATACAGATTTTGTACCATATGATTGGTCGGCTTGGAAGAAGAGATAATCGATAAAGATTTTACGCAATCCTATTGGCTGGCTTTGCAATTTTGGGTACAACCGAACCGGATTTTTACCGTGGGAGTGCCACAGGCATCCCACGGAACAATAGCAATGGTGATCTTTTCACGTGTGAAGATAACATGTTATTTTCACCTGTGAAGATATCATGTTTTCTTGTGAAAGCTCAATTTCATTGGTGTTTACGTAATTATACTGTGGTATCCACGCACGCAAAAGCTGTTTGTTTGGAAACGCTATTACTTGTTTGACCATATAAATAAAAATAATGAAGGTTAGTTTTTACTCTCACAAATAAAGGTGTCTGCTCGCAAGTAATTTAGCCCAGCTACTAACGGACACCCGGGACAAGTCCACCTGGGGATGGGTAATTGTCTCTTTCTGTGCACCCGGGTTGTGGGAAATTGACCGACAAGTAAGAATAAATGCAAATCCCTTGGAAGTGGGATGCGAGGAGGAAGGGGGGGGGGGTTAAAGGTAGAATAGAATCATGGGTTCATGGGTAACCATCATCAATGTTTCAGTGGATACTAGCAACGCCAGCACCGACGATGTTTTAAAATTTTCTTTTCCTAGATGGACGGGTCTGCAGTGCTTTATTCTCCCGAATTGGCGAATACTATCTAGTTGAACTTGGACTAGAGACGAGGGGCGACCTGTACGCTCTACGTTCATTTTGTGAACGAAAAGAAAAGCAGACAAAAAGCAAAGATGCTGAAGAACGAAAGCAGTCCTTAATTGATAAAATAAGGTGCAAGAAAGTAAAGCACTCAAGTGACCCTGAGTCCCAGAAGAAAAATACGCCCTCTAGCTCCTATGGTAAACCGCGAAAATTTGAGTTAGGCTGGCAGCATTTCTCAGAAGTCAGAAAAGGTTTGTTGCTGTTCGACAGTCCAGAGGAGGGGGGACTAGGTCTGTATCGATGTCAGGCAACAGTACCATTTCCGACATTCTAGAGGAAGCTCGGAACCTGTTTTTCCCTCAAGGAAAATCAGTATATGGAAATTGGATGGACATGGATTGCGAGTTAGCAAACTTTAAGGGTGAAGTGAAAACAAGCCTAACCTCCCATGAAGGTAATGTAATGGACTTCTCTCTTCAATCATACTTCGAACTCCACAAGCTCACTCGTGTCCGCCTGTATCTGAGGACGCGACAAAGAGGAACATCATCCATCTCAGTTGAGGAGTGGGAACCGGAAGCCGAGTTGGAGACTCTTGGAGTGCTTAAAGGAAGCTCGCTTGAAAGGGCCAAACTGAGAGAGGAACAAGACAGAGAGTATGCGGAAAGCCTGCGCGCGGACCGCGCGAAAACGGAGCGTAGGGAGCAAGCCCTTAAGGAAGAATTAAATAAAGCAAGAAAGGTCGAAAAAATTCACGCCGCTCGCTTGTCAAGAGTGTTAGACGAACCAACGGTAGATGAACCGCGTGTGGTTGTTCGTGTCCGCCACATCGACTTGGGCTTGGTCAATCGTGCCTTCAAACCCAACCAGAAGATGGCGGCAGTGTACGATTGGATTGGCTCGCTGCAGCTTATTCCGCTGTACTTCTCGTTATCCAGCACACCAGGCAATGTGATAGACCCGTCTGTGTCTATAGACTACTCAGCTGACAAACTGTTGTTTATGGAGCAGAGGGATGATCCCATACCATTCTCAGCAGATGACGACGAAGTTTCCTTTAAAGGGTTTGGCGATATTGGAGAGATTGGAATGACCCCACCAAGTCGTATTATGGCATGGGATATTGATACCGATGAAGAAGGATGTTCAGCGTAAGTCCGTAGTTAGGGATATTGTAAAATAAACTCCATCAAGTTAAGGATATGATAGAGCATGGCATGTTGGAAAATTAACCATTTTATTCACCAACCAAATACAATTCAAAAACTGCGGACTTTGGGAACAAGATTGACTTCAGTGTAGGTCAGAATGATTCATGCACCTTTGTAAGTAAAGTGAAAAAGGTTGGCAAATTTACATGCTGATGGGTATATACTGACTTTTAAGCAGTGGAAGAAAACCCTTTAATTTGTCTCACTTTGTCTCACTCCAATATCTCAAAGTTTACCATTCATGTTATAATAATAATAATAATAATAATAATAATAATAATAATAATAATAATAAATAATATCACTCCCATTTGGTGACTGCGAACCTTTCCATTTACCTTAATTTGCAGCAGTGACATTTTGCCGTGGTATTTTTGTGACCAAGATGACGACAAAAAGGTCACTGCGGTTTACATTGCTGTTATATTTCAGTGTTGAAGCTTCGTTATCGGTTTACACCTCTACTCCCGCATGTTTAGTCAACCAAAATTTATTGAAAGTCTCTTAATTAAGAACACTCTATGGTAGTTTAGAGGCAAGAGTTTTTGTTGAACTAGCTTGTACTACTATGCTGTCACACGACAGTTCTTGGTGGGATGACGCTTAGGATACTTATGCATGCAATCTACCCAATTTGTAGGAGCAGAGCGCTACTTGCACAAGGAGAAGCAGAAAGAGGTCAATGGAAGACAGAGCGCGAAATTTTCGTCAGTACCACCTCCCAAAGTATTTGGAAGAAAAGGTCAGGGGAACTTAAGTTTTGACTTTCTTTATTTTTTGCACTTTTTACAACATTTACATCCTAGCTATATGACGTTGACAGAAAATATAGTACGATAAAATTGGGCCAGGGAACAACTGAAAAATGTACGTGCGCAGTATTATAAAATAATAGAGGAGTGTCCTTCACAGAAACCGGTTTCAACTACAAAAATTAAACAAGTAGCTTCGCTTTGCTTTTGACCTTTGCAAGTCTTTTTACTTAACACAAAACGCTCAATGTATATATATATATATATATATATAACTATAAGTAGATTTATGAAGACTTCATCTGCTATAAGAGTGCTCAATGGTAACACCAGAGCTGTAAATAGATAAAAGATGAACTTCTGGAGTCGGACTAGTTCAAAAACATTTAATCGCTACTCAAGCTACGCAAGCTAGGTCTCTAATGTCAACAAGAAATGTAATCTCTGCCTGTGGGAGAAATACTTTATTATTTGCAAACCGAAAATGTCGACACTCAATCGTAGAAATGAACTGTCATCGATCTGTAGACATTCTAAGAAATTTCTTTTAAATACCGCGATAACCTAATATAGATTTACCTGTTCGTTAAGCATTTTAGCCGTCCAATCAGAATTCTTACGTCTTTTCAAATTTGTATATCTTTACATGTGACCGCTAATGTTGTCAGTCGCCTGATGATTGCTTCTTTAGAGGCATGAAACTCCGAGTAGCGATTAAATGTTTTTGAACTAGTCCGACTCCAGAAGTTCATCTTTTATCTATATATATATATATTTGCTATATTCTCGCCGTGGGGTAATCTTCTATGCGACGTGATTTGATTTTTTGGGAATATAAACTCCGCCCACTTCATACAACTGTTGTACACGCAGGAAAGCAAGGAAGCCTTCTCGCTTTAAGAAAATGACATATTACTTTTTTCTTTTTAGACCGACATTGGAGATCCAGGTGATGAGGAGTTGGCGGAGAGCAACAATGAACCCCTTACCTGCATGGGAATTACCAACAATCAGGGCTCCACTGATAACGTGGTGGTCATTGAAGATGACTCCCCTAGGCCGGCGGTTGCGGACGTTATACCCCCAAAGGAATGATTCAAGTGTGGAAACGGAAGTAAACCACAGCTTAGAATCACAGCAAACAACTAGCAGGTAAGGTCCTACCTAGGGGCTTGATTCTAAATGTATTTAATTAATCAAAGGCTCCTGTGCGCCAACTAATTCATGCTGTAAGAGTATTATTAATAGCCTGTACAACAGGCGTTATTGGGCCGGGGAGCTCAAGTGGAACTTCCGGCGCGCGCGCGATGCGCGAGACACGCGAGGAGAGGGGAAGAAAGTAGTTATGGTTATTGTTTTTCTTTTCGCTTCCCTCGCGTGTCTCGCGCTTCACGCGCTGCCCCAAAACCCACCTGAGTGCTGCCTGTTGTGCAGGCTATATTATTTAGAGTTGAACAATAGCGGTTACTGCTAGTTATCTGATATCTTAGTACAACCGAACCATTGACAGCATATAACCTTATCACAATGTCATAAATTAGGTTACGGTAATGAAATAACCCTGAATGTCTCTCTTTTTGTTTTGGTTTCATTGCAGGGTTGTAAAGATAAGAAGAGTTCAAGTTATGGCGGATATGATTAGCCTCTTTAAAGATGAAACTGTAATGGACACCCCACTCAACGTGCTCATGATTAATGCTTTTGGGAAAGAAGAGAACGGCGTGGACAACAATGGTGTTTTCCTTGACGCTCTTTCCTCATTTTGGGCCGCCTTCTATGAATCTTGTACAAATGGGGAAGAGGAGAGAGCTCCCGTCATAAGACACGACTTCCAAGTTTCAGAGTGGGAGTCAATAGGAAGAATAATTGTCAAAGGTTACAAGCAAGTGAAATTTTTCCCTGTCAGATTAAACAGAGCCTTTATGACAGCCAGTCTCTTCGGCGAAAGCGCCATAACCAATGAACTGTTGATAGACTCATTCCTGGCCTATCTCAGTAAAGATGAAAGAGAATTGGTCAAGCTCGCTCTGAATAAGGGATTGCATAAGGAACACGAGGAGGAATGGCTGGAACTGTTGGATCGGTTTGGGTGCAAGACCATTCCCAATGCGGAGCAAGTCGGAGATATCGTCTTGGAAATAGCCCATAAAGAGTTGGTCCAAACGCCAAGATACATCATCGACAGCTGGAGTACACCGTTACTTGTGCTTCAGCAAGAATTTCAGTCACCAGATCTGCTTCAGCAGTTCTTTGAAAGAGGAAAACCGACCACTAAGAGGGTGATAGCACTTTTAGATGCAAATGCTGAAACCAATGCTCAAAGGGAGACCATGTCCTACCTGAAGCAATATGTACGTGGACTGGAGAGTGAGAAATTGACGAAGTTCCTCCGATTTTGCACCGGTTCCAATATGATGTGCGTGGAGAAGATCACCATCTCATTCAACACTTTAGAGGGTGCTGTTAGACGACCTGTGGCACACACTTGCGGAGCAGTGCTGGATCTCCCTACTACATATCCATCCTTTCCTTTGTTCCGCAAAGAGTGGAACATTGTCCTGTCGTCTGAGTATTGGGACATAGATTTCCTTTAGAACAGTAAACTGCACCGCCTGTTTCTTTAACAGTGTGCTCACTGACTAATACCACTCGTTGTGTTATTTTAAAGTAATTATTCTTGTACGTTTTGTTATAACATTCAGGAGAAGCGAACAATGCTCTAAATGTTTCAAAAGGTTTCGTTGTTGAGATAAATTTCACCACCTATAGAGCACATATTGTATCAGTTTTACCTCGATATTTCCCATTTAAATGCCGCGAATTCGAAGGTTCTGAAAACTGAAGACAACTAGCAGTCATCAGTCATTTCATCCACGACCGAGCTTCTTAGTGTCATGGGTCTATTCTTGTGATTTAGCGTCCCGAACTGCTTTTCATTTCTGATTTCAGAGAATTTGTGCTTTGCAAAACAGTTTGTGGCGTCAAATTAGGAATAGACCATGTCTCTCACAATTCAGGCTTAGTCAAATGAGTGCAAGTTTTCCTAACCTTAAATAACTTGTGGGATATTTAAAAAGCAAAATTGGTAAACATAAGTTTGCAAAAGGTGAAGGGATTAGTCTCAACAACGAAAAACATTTAAGTTTAGGTGCACTTTCATAGTTGATGTTTGCTTGTAGTTTGAATCAGTTACTTTGGTTAATGGTCATTATCCCCTTTTACTGTTTTGTCAGTGACAAGACTCAGTTCACGATAACAAGGAATGACTGCGTGAACTATTTGTTCCTATTCTGCCGGAAATGTCACATGGATTGTAGTACATGTAGGTTTGAATTCCGCGTGTATACTCTTTTCCTTACACAAAGTTAACGATTTCTCATAATAAACAGAGTTAAAAGTTTTTCCATGATACTTAACGTCTTCTCTCAAATCAGTTAATTAACCATTGAAAAACTGCTGAATCACTCCCCTTCTGAGATATATCTGGACCTCGATTTTCCGCTATTTTCCCCGGTTATCCTCGGTCTTTTAGCGAGAGTCTACTTAATCAAGTATTTTCAATATGGTAAACAAGATCCACAAAAAGGTCACGTGCTTCTTGAGCATTTGTAGGAATTTGTAAATGTTGCTCTTGCATTATTATGTCCACTAATTCTCTACACTCGTCTGAGCAATGAGTTGGGCTTGTTCTGTCACAGCATACATCTTCAATTATGTCAATATCATCAAGATCGACCTCTGTCATGTAATCCCTTGTATCTGTCCATGATGGCACGAAATAGAGTATATCTGGTCGGCCAGAAGGAGATTCTGCATTGTGGGAAGGTCTAATATTGTGCAGGTTCCATTGTTTTGCTACTGTGTGAAGCGCCTGTTGTATTAGGGGCATAAAACAAAATCTCAAGCAATCAACGTGAATTGGGTCATGGTCGCAGAACACACCTTCATCTCTCATGTCCTTAAAAAAATCGATCCACCAGCTAGCGTTACTTTTCTTCAGAAATGACCACCAAGCCTCTATTCTCTGATTGCTTACCGACCTTCCGTAAAGGGAACTTTTTTCTCCAGAGAATGCATCTTCAGTTCCTGACCGCAGAAATCGTTGTATACCTGCCACAGATATATTTTCTGTTCCCGCATCGGTTCGCACTATCCTCGGAACTCCACCTATTTGGCGAATACAGTCAGTAAAATAATTGGCAATTATTTCTGGATTGTTATTTGTGCAACCAACTTCTAACCAAAGAATGCTTCTGCTATAACCATCTATGCCTCCATGTATACAAAACCCAAACGGTTTAAGTTTATCATAGCCATCTATGTGCCAAATATAGTTAGGCCCTTTTGCACGGTATTCTCTTCTCCACAATCTCTTTGACGATCGTGCTTGTACTCCAACAGGGTCCAATTCTTTGATTATTTCTCGAACGATCTCCTTTTGGACAACGAGACCGTAGTCGTTCCTCAATCGCTGGTGCATTTGACGGTATCCAATTCGGTTTCCACTTCCCTCAAGTTCAGTTTCTATGGCATTAATAACTTGTTCGATATCACTGTGGTCTTTCCTTCCACGTAGACCCTCACGTCTCAAAATTCGTCTGAGCTGACGCAAGCTCAGTTGAATTCCATGAAAAGAGAGCAGAAAAGCCAATATCTCGGAGTACTGAAGACCAAGGCTAAAGTAATGTTTAATGAGGTCGGTCCTCTCCACAATTCAGATCAACCTGTTACCAATGTAAGAGGGTAATACAGCGCTGGATACTTAACACACGACAAAAAGTATCAACAGTTCGATAGCAGACCTTAAATGGACCGCCATCTTGGCAACAACGCCGTAAACAACTGAGTGAAAAAAATGTTTGTCACTTTTTGGCGTGCCTTATTATCGCGCGATAATTTTCAATTTATCGCGCGATAACTTGGATTTATCGCGCGATATTTTTGATTTATCGCGCGATAATTTGGATTTATCGCGCGATATTTTCGATTTATCGCGCGATAATTTGAATTTATCGCGCGATAAACTGTGTTTTTATCGCGCGATATAAAAATGTAAGTAGCGTGTCTTCTATGGGCCACCGTACGAATGAAGTTTTTGCGCTCCAATGGGTTTTTTGTAAAGTGACATCTGTCATTTTGTTTTGTTGACATGGCACGTACATTTAAACGCGTTTCCGGTTCCCCTTTTTACGAACCAGCCTTTTGGACCAATAAATACAGGTTAAAAAAAAAAAGAGTGATTTCAAAATGGATGTAATAAAGTGGTAATTGAACTTCGTGTCGTGCAATTTTGGTCTGAAATCATGCTTGCGATTTCAAATCGAGCCCGCGCTGCGCGCTCTTTCGATTTCGAAATCACGCGTATGATTTCAGACCAAATTGCACTCCACTCAGTTCAATTGCCATTATAAATTCGACGATACTTTCAATTTCCATGCATGATATTGAAAAAACTGATACCGCCTTTTCACTCCATTGATACCTCACGATATGTTTCCTGGTCAGCATTGCACTTCATTGCATTTCAGGGACTTATTTGTGGGGTTGCAGTATTATACTGAAAATGATTTTTAACAGTTCCGACCATTCTACCATTTTAATCACCGCCCCAGTCTTATTCACTTCAACTAATTGCCCAACGCAAGAGGGAAAAACACAGGTTTTAAATCGCGTAACATCATTTATTTTAAAGTTCAAATACAGGAACAAAGTTTGATAATTCTGACAGGAAAACGTGCAAAGTTGTGTCAGTTGATAAACCTAACTCTAAAAAGTGTTCGAGCATGTTGACAATTCATTCAAAGAAATATACAAGGTATAGTTGCAAGGTTGATTGGAATATTCAGAATGAGTGATGCAAACATTAAAACAGAACTCAAAGTGAAGATATTAAATTTAATCAAACAATGGCAACAACTAGAGAGTAATCCATCCATTCTCCATCCTATGTCCATCATCACTGCCACTCCTTAAAGTAAAGGAGAATGTGGGGAGGGAGGCTGCAGTGGAGGAGGATGTACTGGTGTGACAACTAACTCCACTGCTAATCAACGACAATGGTCATGCATGTGAACTAAAGGGTGGTTGGCTTGTAGGTGGATCTCCTTAAACTCTGGGGTTTGGAAGAATTAATCAAGGAGCTTGTATGTAGCTGCTGCAGGGTCTCCTTAACCATCTGTTCGCACCTTCATCTGTTTTACTCAAATCTGCAAAGCACAGCCATTGAAAAAAAGTGAGCAATAACCACAAATCAGTGCCCAAAATAGTGGTTAAGGTAGTTTATTCTTGTACATGTGTATGAACCTCATTACTACCCATGCTTATAATAACATCATCAACCACAACAATAATAATGATAATAATGTGATGTTAAGGATAATAAGACTTTCAAATTTCTTTCGGATTTCTGTATATAAACAGAAATGAAACTGGATCACAATCGCCTTGACATCGTGTGTGTGGACCAACAGAACAAAAATTGCCTCATCACTGATATTGCATGTCCTTGTGACAAAAGGGTGGACATCAAACAAGAGATCAACAACAAGTATAGTCAACAAGACTTAGTATCTTCATCTGGCATGAAGATACTAGTTGTGGAAGATGAAGGTGTAAAAGTTGCCCCTTTTGTTTTGGAGCACTGAGTACTATTCTGAAGACCTGGAGGTTTAACTGAAAAAACATAAATAATTCTGGGATTGAGTTGGCACTGAACTTCAAAGAACAGTCTTGCTGAGATCAGCAAGAATCCTCCAAAGTGTCCTTGAAGTTTAAGGTAGCTTGTTGCCACCCAATAAATTCAATGGGTTTGAAATTTCTGGCATTGACATACCTGCTGTGAAGCATGCACAAAAATAAATTGGGAATTGAAGGGAAAAGACAGGTGATTCTCCTCAATAACATTATTATTATCAACAGCCGAATAAAATAAGGGTACTAATAGACCTTTTTACCAATACGGTGGCCATACAGTAAAAACCGACGAGTAAGAACCTAAGAGTTAAGAACCCGTTAGGCTAAAATTTGCAATTTAGACCCCATCTATATAAGAACCTCTTTAGACTAAAATTTGGAGTAAGGTTCTTATTTTCAAAAATCATTTTAAAATATTTACTAATTGCAATTGCAAAAGGCAAGTTAGTACATATATAAATGTTGTTTGATTGAGGTTATTGAGAAAATGTTTATAATGTTGTGTTTTACAGCACAGTCATGTCTATAAAGTTGTTTTGACTCAAGAAATTAAAATTCATGTGAGATTAGATCTCTACTATGGTCATATTGAAATATAAGCAATCATTAGGTATCCAAATTTAAGGGTGCTGATCACTAAAATCTTCTTAGCAAAGACATATTTTTTTGCAAGAAATTAAGAACCTATTAAGAACCTAGATAGCCTAAATTTATGTTAACCACCATTTATGTAAGAACCTGTTTAGGCTAATTAACCCTGGAAAATGTAGGTTCTTACTCGTGGGTTTTTACTGTATTGAATTAATTCGATTTAAGGAGTATTATAGGATGCCCAGGGGACATGAGCACATTTCGCTTGTATTTTGGAGCTCTTTGCGGGACATTTTTTTCTTAAAGTTTTCTTAGAATAAGATTCTAACGGGAAAAAAGATCCTTGTGCCGTGTTTGGATGTAATCATGATCACCTTTTTCCCAACAAATATACGGTGAAATGCTAAGCTAGAAAAAGGCGATCATTATTACATCCAAACACGGCACAAGGATCTTTTTTCCCATTACAATCTTATTCTAAGAAAACTTTACGAAAAAATGTCCCGAAAAGCACTCCAAAATACAAACTAAATGTGCTCATGCCCCCTGGGAATCCTATAATACTCCCTAAATCGAATTAATTCAATATGGCTGCCGTATCAGTAAAAAGCTCTATTAAAAGCAGTTTACATATACACTGTAGATAAACTATCTTCAGATCATACGTACAGCTATTTCATACATTATTTTTTTAAAAGGTTAATTTGCACAGTAGTTCAAAATAATATTGTCTATCTTAAATGCACAAAAAATTTTAACTAAAGGTAATTTGGACAAAACCTGGAGCTGCACTACAGTGTTTTTGAAAAAGCAAAGCCGAATTAATGAAGGGTGAAATGAAATGTAATGCTGTATTGGTATAAAATAGATTGTCAATAATTGCAAATCTGTTTTGTCAATGCAGTTTTTATAAAACAGCTTGTGTGTTTATAAATCAAGCACTACACCTACTGGAAAACATGACTGCATGTACCACTCCAATGAAGAGGTCCCATAACAAAATACCATATTTATTTGATTAAGTGCCTTGCCTGGGTGCTCACTAAAGTTTTCCACCTTGAGAGTGGGCTATTATTCAAGTTGGTCACTTTAATACGTGTATTTGGGCTGGGTGTTTAATGAATTCTCACAGTTTTCACCAAAAGTAATTTTGTTAGAGTTCCAAAGCAGATTTTTAACTGTTCATTGAAAGTTTCTTTAAAATACTGTACTAAGAAAACTTGGTCTCTTAATTTAGTAGAACTTAAGTCTTTTTCAATCTAGCTAGTATGGGGTAGGCACTTATTCGAGTTTAGGAGATAATTCATTTTTTTCTGCCTATAAGGTGGAGGGTTATTGGAGGTGGGCAGTTACTTGAGGTTGAGCACTTTATCAAATAAATAATAAGGTATTCTATTTTCTTTTCAGCACTTTTTGTTACATGTAATTACAAATTCTCAGTAACATCAAGACGTTTCTTCTATTTTCTGGTACAAACTCCTCAACCCCAGTGTCACTAACCTGCACAATATTGCATAGTGTTCCTAAGATGTTTGCCTAGTACTGAAAGGAAAATCAGGAATCAATGAAGTTCACTTAATTACTTTTAACTGTCACTGCTGCCTTAATTACCCACTGAAATGTAAGATACTGAGTATTTACAAATTAATGTACAGGGGCTGTGCCACCACAGTCTTAGTTCACTTTGTTAATATTAAACAATAAATGGTGTGGGATGAGGTTTTGTGATATCCAGAAATAATCAAGGGAGAGGATTGACTAAATGACATCAGCTGAGCCGAAGGCCGAGGCTGATAACACTTACTGAGACCTTGATTATTCCAAATATCACAAAAACCAATTCTAATAGTTGTTTCATTATGCATTGTTTTCAAGAAAACAAGGACAAACACAGAATTGCATGGAACACAGTTTGACATTCCTCTTAGAAATTGTACTTGGTGCACACCAGGGGGTAGAGACAAAGTCAGGCTTATGGCGTACGATCCCTGCCAAAACTCATGGTTTCAATTTTAAATGCATCATGTAAATCTCTAACCTCGGTACTTGAATTTTATAGCTGAATTCAAAATTTTACACTCTTCCTTTAGGAGAAAACGTGTATTTTCAACTCGCTTCGTCAAATTACATAGTAGAACCATGCAATTTTCATCTCGGCGTTGAGTTGAAAATTGTATAGTTCTACTATGTAACTGTAATTTGATGAAGTGAGTTGAAAATACACAGAAGAGTTGGGTTTAAAAGCTAATGTTGAATTTAAAATTCAAACCATAAATTTTCGTGGGGATCAAACACTATCCGGACTGAAAAACACTTTCACAACTTGCAAAGCAGTCACCTTTGTGGTAGTTCAGAGATGAAAAGCGAACCACCAAAGAGAATAATATTCAATAACTGAAAAAAATGTATCTCATGCCTTTTGGTTTTTCTCACACATCGTATTTGTCCTTGCAAAATCGAAGCGACACTACTTGCATTACTGTGTAAATTCTTAACCAACAACAATGCGTGCTGAACTATCGATCGAATTGATCAACTTTATAGATACATTTATTTTTCCGGGTAAAGAGAATACTATTATAATAGTAGTTGTGAGATAACAATTACCTGAGAAAGTGCCAGATTTATCAGAATTAAATCTATTCAAGAGAGCTTTATAATATGAGCTTACATTGTGTACATATTCACAATTCAGTGATAACATTTAATTTCACTTTGTTTATTGGAATCAGTGATGCAAGCTCTTACTGGTGAGAACACAGACAGGTCTTTTGATCTTTAACATGGCATCTTCTGGCACATCACTGATAAGCTTATTTAGCCACAAAAATACATTTCAAAAGAGCTAAAATAAAATGTTCTTGCATCAGAGGGCAAATCACACTGACCAGAAACAATGACAACAATAACCTCAGACAATCAGTATACATGTCATGACCTCTCACTTTTAAATGGGAGGGAAAACCACAATTTTGCTCATTCAAAGCTTACGCTTCAGCACATAATCTACCACCAGAGAAAGAACTCATTGGAACAAGCAGCATTTTGGCACCAGGTAAAAGTCAAGTGTTGCCTCCTGACCCCCTTTTTACATGCAAAACTGACTACATTAATTGACAATCTTGCTGACAGAAGATCAGCAATTAATAGACAAGAGGGAGGAATAGTGGCCTCAAAGGTTTGCCTTAAGGCTCTCCCCCTTTCCCTTCCCTCTCCTCCCAACTTTTTTGCCCTTCCCCCAAACAGAAAGCCTGTTCACAGCCTATATGTTGCATATTCCAAACTCTACAAAGAGAAAAAAGAAAGACCACAACAACAATACGTCTGAAAAGCGACATGAAATCAGTAAAGTTGCAATTTACCAAAATAAACGATATGCAATAGTGAGAAACAATCCCGCCTTCAACCACCATGATTTTGTTCCTTCTCAAAACCATTTACATTGTACCTTTGGTTTATGATGCAATGTGCAACATCAGTACACAAAACTGCTGGCAAGACCCTTGATGATTGCTTTGCAAGTTGTGAGAACATCATTTCCATTTCATTTAAGCGAATGTATGGGAAGTAACTTCCCTCCCCCACCTCCCTCCGTGCACACAACCTACAGATCAGTCACTAATAGACCTTTCCCGCATTACGCTCTATTGAGCAAACACAAAGAAATGAGGATGAGGTTCGGGTGGACAATTTCATACAAAGGTCTATCTGCCAGCAGATAACTAACTAATCTGTAGGTTGAGCTTGCAATGTATGATTTCTAAGAACAAACTGTGTATACTTTGTCTTTGTCCTAATTTTCTTGAAAACACTGTACAGGGCTGTGAACATTTTTTTTTCTCTTGAAAGGACATATGTTCCACTAAGACACCATCTTGGTTGGACAAGCAAAGTTTTAGTCGTACATAATGCCAATAAATTACAAGTCCTTATTCTATACGAAAATTCATTACCTGACGAGGGAATTCCACGTAAAAACCGATATTGCACGAATCGCGCAGCGATGAGTGTGATATCGGTTTTCAAGTGCAATTTAATATGGAATTCCCTCGTCAGGTAATGGATTTTCCTTGAATCGCATAACTGAATAAAAATCAGAAAA